GGTATATGATAACCCATCCACCTGTATGATTTCATATCTAGAACATAGAACATAGAACATAGAACATTACAGCGCAGTACAGGCCCTTTGGCCCTCGATGTTGCGCCAACCTGTGAAACCAATCTGAAGCCCATCTAACCTAAACTATTCCATTATCATCCATATGTTTATCCAATGACCATTTAAATGCCCTTAAAGTGGGCGAGTCTACTATTTTTGCAGGCAGGGCATTCCACGTCCTTACTAATCTCTGAGTAAAGAACCTACCTCTGACATCTGTCCTATATCTATCACCCCTCAATTTAAAGCTATGTCCCCTCGTGCTAGCCATCACCATCCGAGGAAAAAGGCTCCCACTGTCCACCCTATCTAATCCTCTGATCATCTTGTATGTCTCTATCAAGTCACCTCTTAACCTTCTTCTCTCTAACGAAAACAGCCTCAAGACCCTCAGCCTTTCCTCATAAGACCTTCCCTCCATACCAGGCAACATCCTGGTAAATCTCCTCTGCACCCTTTCCAATGCTTCCACATCCTTCCTATAATGCGGTGACCAGAACTGTACGCAATACTCCAAGTGCGGCCGCACCAGAGTTTTGTACAGCTGCAACATGACCTCATGGCTCCGAAACTCAATCCCTCTACCAATAAAACCTAGCATACTGTACGCCTTCTTAACAACGCTATCAACCTGGGTGGCAACTTTCAGTGATCTATGCACATGGACACCGAGATCTTTCTGCTCATCCACACTACCAAGAATCTTACCATTAGCCCAGTACTCTGTATTCCTGTTACTCCTTCCAAAGTGAATCACCTCACACTTTTCCGCATTAAACTCCATTTGCCACCTCTCAGCCCAGCTCTGCAGCTTATCTATGTCCCTCTGTAACCTGCAACATCCTTCCGCACTATCCACAACTCCACCGACTTTGGTGTCATCCGCAAATTTACTAACCCATCCTTCTACGTCCTCATCCAGGTCATTTATAAAAATGACAAACAGCAGTGGCCCCAAAACAGATCCTTGAGGTACACCACTAGTAACTGAACTCCAGGATGAACATTTCCCATCAACCACCACCCTCTGTCTTCTTACAGCTAGCCAATTTCTGATCCAAACCGCTAAATCACCCTCAATCCCATGCCTCCGTATTTTCTGCAATAGCCTACCATGGAGAATCTTATCAAACGCTTTACTGAAATCCAAATACACCACATCAACCGCTTTACCCTCATCCACCTGTTTGGTCACCTTCTCGAAGAACTCAATAAGGTTTGTGAGGCACGACCTATCCTTCACAAAACCGTGTTGACTATCCCTCATCAAATTATTCCTTTCTAGATGATTATAAATCCTATCTCTTATAATCCTTTCCAACACTTTACCCACAACCGAAGTAAGGCTCACTGGTCTATAATTACCAGGGTTGTCTCTACTCCCCTTCTTGAACAAGGGGACAACATTTGCTAGTCTCCAGTCTTCTGGCACTATTCCTGAAGACAATGACGACATAAAGATCAAAGCCAAAGGCTCTGCAATCTCCTCTCTAGCTTCCCAGAGAATCCTAGGATAAATCCCATCCGGCCCAGGGGACTTATCTATTTTCACACCTTCCAGAATTGCTAACACCTCCTCCTTATGAACCTCAATCCCGTCTAGTCTAATAGACTGTATCTCAGTATTCTCCTCGACTACATTGTCTTTTTCCTGCGTGAATACTGACAAAAAATATTCATTTAGCACCTCTCCTATCTCTTCGGACTCCACGCACAACTTCCCACTACTGTCCTTGACCGGCCCCAATCTTACTCTAGTTATTCTTTTATTCCTGACATACCTATAGAAAGCTTTAGGGTTTTCCTTCATCCTACCTGCTAAAGACTTCTCATGTCCCCTCCTGGCTCTTCTTAGCTCTCTCTTTAGGTCCTTCCTGGCTAACTTGTAACTCTCAAGCGCCCTAACTAAGCCTTCACGCCTCATCTCTACATAAGCCTCCTTCTTCCTCTTGACAAGAGATTCAACTTCTTTAGTAAACCACGGTTCCCTCCCTCGACCACTTCCTCCCTGCCTGGCAGGTACATACTTCTCAAGGACACGCAGTAGCTGTTCCTTGAACAAGCTCCACATTTCAATTGTGCCCAGCCCCTGCAGTTTCCTTCTCCATCCTATGCATCCTAAATCTTGCCTCATCACCTCATAATTGCCTTTCCCCCAGCTATAACTCTTGCCCTGCGTTATATACCGATCCCTTTCCATCGCTAAAGTAAACGGAACCGAATTGTGGTCACTATCACCAAAGTGCTCACCTACCTCCAAATCTAACACCTGGCCTGGTTCATTACCCAGTACCAAATCCAATGTGGCCTCGCCTCTTGTTGGCCTATCTACATACTGTGTCAGGAAACCGTCCTGCACACATTGGACAAAAACTGATCCATCTGAAGTACTCGAACTATAGCGTTTCCAGTCAATATTTGGAAAGTTAAAGTCCCCCATAACAACTACCCTGTTACTTTCACTACTATCCAGAATCATCTTTGCAATCTTTTCCTCTGCATCTCTGGAACTTTTCGGGGGCCTATAGAAAACTCCCAACAGGGTGACCTCTCCTTTCCTGGTTCTAACCTCAGCCCATACTACCTCAGTAGACGAGTTGTCATCAAACGTCCTTTCTGCCACCATAATACTGTCCTTGACTAACAATGCCACACCTCCCCCTCTTTTACCACCTTCCCTGATCTTACTGAAACATCTAAACCCCGGAACCATTCCTGTCCCTGCTCTATCCATGTCTCCAAAATGGCCACAACATCGAAGTCCCAGGTACCAACTCATGCTGCAAGTTCACCCACCTTATTCCGGATGCTCCTGGCATTGAAGTAGACACACTTCAAACCACCTTCCTGCCTGCCGGGTACACTCCTGCGACCTTGAAACCTTATTTATGACCTCACTACTCTCAACCTCCTGTACACTGGAGCTACAATTCAGGTTCCCACCCCTCTGTTGAATTAGTTTAAACCCTCCCGAAGAGCATTAGCAAATTTTCCCCCCAGGATATTGGTACCCCTCTGGTTCAGGTGTAGACCATCCCGTTTGTAGAGGTCCCACCTACCCCAGAATGAGCCCCAATTATCCAGGTATCTGAATCCCTCTCTCCTGCACCATCCCTGTAGCCACGTGTTCAACTGCTCTCTCTCCCTATTCCTTGCCTCGCTAGCACGTGGCACGGGTAACAAACCAGAGATAACAACTCTGTTTGTTCTAGCTCTAAGCTTCCACCCTAGCTCCTTGAATTTCTGCCTTACGTCCCCATCCCTTTTCCTACCTATGTCGTTGGTGCCTATGTGGACCACGACTTGGGGCTGCTCCCCCTCCCCCTTAAGGATCCCGAAAACACGATCCGAGACATCACGGATCCTGGCACCTGGGAGGCAACACACCAACCGCGAGTCTCTCTCGTTCCCACAGAATCTCCTATCTGTCCCCCTAACTATGGAGTCCCCAATGACTAATGCTCTCCTCCTCTCCCCCCTTCCCTTCTGAGCAACAGGGACAGACTCTGTGCCAGAGACCTGTACCCCATGGCTTACCCCTGGTAGGTCGTCCCCCCCAACAGTATCTAAAACGGTATACTTGTTTTTGAGGGGAATGGCCACAGGGGATCCCTGCACTGTCTGCCTGTTCCCTTTCCGTCTCCTGCCTGTAACCCATCTACTTTTTTCCTGTACCTGAGGTGTGACTACCTCCCCGTAACTCCTCTCAATTACCCCCTCAGCCTCCCGAATGATCCGAAGTTCATCGAGCTCCAGCTCCAGCTCCAGTTCCCTAACACGGATTCCGAGGAGCTGGAGTTGGGTGCACTTCCCGCAGATGAAGTCAATGGGGACACTAGTGGTGACCCTTACCTCCCACATTCTACAGGAGAAGCATACAACTGCCCTAACATCCATTCCCACTGTTCTGAATTCCCAAACAGACAAATTTAAAAAAAATACTAGTAGCCTTACCAAATCAGCACTCAGAACCTTTTTTTTTGGTTAGAGGAGGAGGATGGGTGGGAGACACTACCTAGGTAGTGTTTTGGGTAAAGCAACCGCCCAAATATATTACCTCGCTTACTCCAAAAATGGAGTCACGCGAGGTAAGACTTTTATAATCGAAAAGCTCACCTTCCCAGGCTGCCCTCATGCTTCCTCCTGGACTCCCGCCGCTGAAACAATATCTAGCTAATTTTCAGTGGTGCATGACAATCAAAAGGGAAATAAGAAATTTTATAACAACACAACATTGGTAAAGGAAATGGTAAATGAGAAAAATTGGCACTTTTAATGAGCAACAGTTACTTTGTTTATCCCTTTTCAGAAATCAGCTTGGAAGTGTGATTTTTTTAGTGACACAAATTTCTTTTGGCTACTCTCAATGACATTTTATGATCAGATTGGGTAAGATCATCTTATAACAGTACAACACATTTTCTATCCCCCTGTACTACAATATTTTAAGGATTTACACTACAGTTATTATTTTTTTCTGTGCTGCATCTAATTGGCTTTAGCACAATTCACCTTTTCGATTCAAGGTTATGACTTCACTACTTTCCACTACCACAATCATTCCAATTCCTAATCTTACTGCAGCTAGTTCTTGTTCAATTCCCAAACTTCAACTTACAGTGTATCCTGGTTTGTGACTACCACATACATACAGTTTCAATTAACCAAAATTTGTAATGATCAGGACAAAGTTTTGAGCCTAAAGTATCAATTGTACAAATTATTTGACTACATTGCAAAATGTAAGTTTCTGTGTGATCTAGTTGAGGTTTTAGTGTATATGATGTGAAGTGTCTTTCCAGTATGTCTGCCTGTCTACTTAATAGTTAACTGCGCGATGGAACTCATTGATCTCTAAGGAAGTGTCATCAGCCTTAAAAGTAAGTTTCTTTTGTGATTGATACAATTCTAACTCTTCTTATAACTTATGCCTTTTGCAGCCGAGAAAAATCACCTGGCCTCAGACACACAAACCATCAAAGCAATGAAAACAGCTCAGAAAACAGCAAGACAACAGTCACTGGAACCCGGACACAAGAAATAAATCGAAAAGATTTTCGCTCCCAGGCATCATAACAATCTTTTAAACAGCTGTGAAAAAGGCATAATGTGGTAAAGCAGTCCAGATATATCATCAGAAGAGAAGAAATATTTATGTGATCATATTCACTTCCAACTTAAATCTTAATACCTGTGGTTATCAGCATCTTCTTAAAGCTCAAAGGTTTATGTATTGCAGATTTGAAAGTTTGTAGGTTAAATGCAGTAAGTATTTAAAAGAGAGAATCTTTGGGCTGCAGTGAATTTCAATCTGCACAAGTGCCTCTCATCTCTGCATTTCTGTAAAAAGGAAAGTTGAACGATAGCTAACGCATGGAATTAACCTTCCCATGACATGGATTAATATGCAATAGATGAAAGTGTTTGCCTAAATTACCATATTTAAATTGTTTCCATGGTTAAAATTTTAATTTTTAAAACATTTTTGAAAAAAATTTATTCTGATACAAAGCTTCACAGTAGCTTTTGTTAAACTCTTCTGCACATTTTATGTTGCTTTTGACATAAAAGTTCTATAAACCATTTGTACAGTTAAACATTTTGAAATAAAGTCTGGCAATGACTTCTTTCTTTTTTAATCCCTCTTTGTAGATTATTTTCTCTCAATAACAGCTCTAAGGCTGAAAATTGTTGACCTTCATTTTGGCAAAGTATTCAAGTACTGGAGTAAGCAGGCAAATACATATTTTCAAACTTTATACCTATCACTCTCACTTATGTGGCAAAAGAATAGTATTCATCTTTAGGTTCCTTTATATTTCCTTCCACATGAGAGACAGATCCTCTACTGTCAGACATATGCTTTTGAACTCAAAGTCCAGTGCCAACTGACTGGTTTACTTTTTTCACTCGGAGGAAATGCCTTGCCTCCACAAATAGTCCAGATGAACTGCTGAACTAAGCCTCCAGGAAATATGGGTGATAAACCTACCTTTATTATGCATAATGCAGTCCTTTGAACGAATTAACATGTTGCATAATAAATTACCCTCTAATGTGAAATTTAGAATTATAAGATTCAATATTTCTTTCCTTCATGTTCTATGAAACTCATTTGCATGCCTTTATTGAGTTAATTTTGAGAAATTGTCTGCATCAAGCACCATATGATAGTAGGGGACTTCACAATAGAGATAGAAGATTTGTCCCACGCATCAATACCGTACTTTATGTAAATCTATTAGAGGAGTATTACTATGAGTTCACATTGAACGTAGGCATCTTAACTTCATGGCTACAGCAAGCATAGCTGTGGAAGAAATCAGTAATTAATGCAATAGGTAAAATCCACTAACTAAGAAAATAATAGATTAACTTTTAAGAAGGTCATGAGTTTGATTCTAAGGGTTATCATTCAAGCCATTGAGGATTCATGTTGTACCAATGTGGTGTCATCCTGGGGGAAAGATCTATTAATCACAACATATCTTGCTTGCTTGAAATCCCTTACTTGTATAGCATTTAAAGTGAGGTATTGACAGAATGGTGGTGAAATTTGTGGACTCCTAAGGCAGTTTATTTTGCATGATTAAAAAAAAATGATTTTCTGTTTTCAGTGTAATTCCATTTGCTGATGATTGGTTCTATCGCACAAATTCCATGCTGTAAATGTAGTACTCTTTCTATTATAATGTGGCCAATTTTAACTTGGGCTGCCTGGCAGGAAATTGGTGGTAATGGCCATTAATGCCCTTGTTACCTGAGTCCTGCTCTCGGCTTGACCACCACCATTTTATCAGGGACCTATAGAATAAGGCAGGAAGTCCATTAAAGTATGAAAATTAGTGCCCTTTTTCAATCATAGAACTTTAATGCAGTTTCCATGTACGAATGAACAGACATGTGCAATGTTTCTTCTGCCCACTTGAGTTGGGTGATGAGTGGCCTAATCAGCAGCTGGCCCTGGAGGTCACTCACAAAACAGTTCAGAAATTGTATTATTTTCCTTTCCATGAGGCTAAAATGAGCAGGAATACATTTCCTTGGCTGACAAACAAAAAATGTTATTGGTGCTGCTACCAAATCATCCAAGGCCAGTCTGGAATACATCTGTCTCAAATGCTTGTCAATCAGATCAATGTTGCAGTGGACTGATTTTCCCATCCACCTGAACTGGCAAACTGCAATGGGACTCCTATGTTTCATGCCTGCAACTCCATGGCAGAACATAAGTATGAGCAAGATCACAAAATGACTCAACCTGCTTCCACACTGTAGGGATTCTATGATTCCAGGCAAGAATTGTTGAACTGCAATCTTGACCCATTGCCTTCCTGCTTCTTAGTGCAGTTAAAATTGGTGCCAATCAGTCAATTAATAGGATAGCTTACTTAAATGTGTGTTCTGGATCTATCATGCTGAACAGAGCATGTGGGATGAAATTCTGGCAGATTTATGGATATATTGCAATAGAATGCTTGAAATTGAATCCTATTTTAAATTTCTGCACCTGGAGACATCCTCCCCAGACCATTTTCATCACCTCAGTTTATTGCAAACAAGAAAATCCAACACTTTTGCAGTGGTTTATCTAATTCAAATAACTGAGGATGTTGTGAACCGAAAACTCTCAGTAAATATGAATTTTGGACATATTTGTATACATAGTTTGTTATGCTGAAATGATTAGAAATGTGGGATGATAGGTATTGTAAACAACTCTGTGGAATTTAACCTGAATTACAGTTATTTCCTTTCTTTTATGCTTGATGAGTTTTGAGAAAACAACTTGTCGTACCAAAAATGGCATTAAAATGTATTTCAAGATCAATATTTACAAAACAATCAACATCCTTTTTAGTATATTTCTAAGTCATCTGCTATGAATGCAATTAGAAAGGAAACAATAGAAAATGAATTCAGTTGCTTGGATTCTGGAAGTTATTTCATTATACCACATGATGTATTATTGTGAAGGTAAGCTGACTCCTAAATATGATTGTCAAACTGTTTGCACACTAAAAAAGCAAACCTTAATTTACGTTTAACTGGAGATTATGATTCTTAACAAAATACATGAATTCCCTCAGACCAGCCCAAAGACATTTAAGATTACAGGAAGGAAACATATATTTTAAAAATCTCTGTATGGTTCATATTTTAACATAGCAGTTTCCTCTAATGAATCAGCTATGATCTTATTTAGATTTGAAGGTTTAGACTTGGAAATATGATTTTTTAAAATGGATATAGACAGAAAATTTGTCTCATTTAGGTGTTCATAGATATATTTGCTTATTCAAACTGCAGTGTATCCTCAAAAAATTCCAGCATTTGCAGGGTCTCTGTGCACCTTTCGCTTCACAAGGTTATAATTAATGTAACATTTATATTCAATACATTGAACCCTTACACTATTGACTGTGTACAGATTGTTGCAGTAGGATGTAGGAGATTTTTTTGGCCTCTTTATTGTATTTGCAATTTTTTTGGAATGATAAAACCATTTCTTGTAACCAAGTAGGCAATACCATTAAAAGGATACATGGAGAAAATCATTCACTGTTTAAATGTCATTGCTATACTATTTGGACCTTTACGCTTGCAAGTATTTTATTCTAAATGCAGTAAGCTTTTGAAACAAAATTGCAAAGTGAAATACCAACACAAAATCTTGAAAAATGTACGCTGTTTTCATTGTTTGCAAGTAAAATTTTGTATGTGCATGATTAATGTTACTGTCTAGTTCACAATATATCTGTTTGTTCTAATTTCAACAAATGAATAGAATTTTAATAAAAGCATGTTTATTTGATAAGATTCTGTGCTGCTTAATTACTAAAGAATACATTGTACAAAGCCTGATGATATATGAATTTTGGATTATCACTGTTTTCTGTATTAGATCTAAAGCCACAGGGAAAAACACTGCAATTGCCATTTGACAGTCATTGTACGTATCTTGAGGTTCCTTGGGGAATATTTAATTGTATTGTAAACTGACTACTAAGATATATGCATTAACATATCTTAAAGTGTAAAAGATACAAAGCATGATATTTTAGAAGTTCAATATATTGAAATAATATAACTTTTCACGTTGCTGTTTAAGTAAAATGTCTATCAGCCTGTTTGCACAACAGATCATTTATATTTAAATTCAGTTATGCTGTTCTGAATTAATTAATTTCCTGAGAGTTATGGCTTATAGGTGCAACAGTTGTCATGAATGGGATTACTGCTTGTTCAGCAATATGGTCAAAGAGGAAAATGCACAATTTCTCAAAACAATTAATATCGCAAAATTTTTAATTGCATAAATGGACTTAATAATCACCATGGCCCATGAACAAGATATTGCTCCCTTCTGGGTCTAATTATAAAGACTAAGTACCTCATTGAACAAAATGGTTTTAGAGGCTGATATACCAGAGTAAAACATTATTCTGTTTTTGACTCATTAGCTTCAACAAAAATGGCACAATCTATAAATCTGTGTACATTTGGTGGTGTGGTGTCATTTATGCATGCATTTTTTAAATAAACAAAATCTTCAAAAATGAACTTTTTAATGCATTAACATGGTTAAAAAACATTTTTTTGGCTAGATAGTTTTCACTTTTATTTCTATATTACTCTTGAAGGTTAGTTATTATTACTGCAATTAAAAGTCACCATTTACAAGGTGTTCAATCTTAATATAATACATTTTTTAAAAATTCAAATGCATGCCAGCTTCAATAATCTAATCAACTTTTGATTTGTGATTGGACATTCTGAAAAAGATAACACCACATTTTCTGTCGTTAACTATATTTCCCATCAAATAATCCTAATATGTATTCATAAGGCAAATATTTCCCTTTGGTGCAATTTCATAAAGACAGCTTGCAACAGAGCAAAGGGATTTTTGCCTAAGGCTGTTTTGAGTTGGTGTGTTCATGAAAATTTTTATGAGCCATATTAAAACAACTAGCATTAATAAAATGTTAGTGTAGATGGGAGATGAGTGTCAGGACCAGTTGCACTAGAATTCATGATTTGAGCCCTGATGAAAAATGAGAAGTAAATAGAGAGACAGAATTTAAGATGAATTGGGATGATTTTCCTTGCTGAATCTGGGATCAAAATGTTATATTAATACAAGTGAAATAAATTTTAATTACCAATACAAAACTACTGAGCCACTAGTCAATAACAAATATATGATCTAACTTGCCAAAATCAAGCATTAGAGACCCTGAGAGTGCATGAAATTGTAGCTCTAAGGAGTATTTTTATGGTAACAATATTGAGGTTCGTATATGGTGGCTGGGGTGGCAGGGGAAGATAGCATATACTTCCTTCTTTGTTGTTTTTTTTCTGTTGATAGTGGTTTAATCTCTAGAACAGAATATTGATGGTTTAAGTTTAATAATCTAGGCTAATTCTCCAGCACATTGTTGAGAGACAGCCACATTGTTAGAAGTGCTACGCTTTCTTTGAATGTGCTATTAAATCATATTATGTGACATCTGTTTGTGTGTTCTGGGGGCTTGGTTTAACACCACATCCAAAGGAATATGATGTAGTTAATTCAAACATGAATATCTCAACACCAACAGAAATAGATTAACCAGTCATTCACCTCATTACTGCCTTTGGTTCTTTGTGTGGACAAAATAGCTGCCCTCCTTGTTCACATTAGTCACTGAACTTCAAAATAATTATGTGATATGTTTTCAGGCATTTGTGAATGATAAAATAACCAAATAAATACATGTCTTATTTCCTGTTATACTTTACTGGAGCAAGCATGACACTGAGTCAGTGAAAAATTGAACAATGACACATTCACAAGAAGTGGCATCATTCTTAAAAGCAAAAAACACTAAAACCTCCTGTTGCTTTCTGATGAAATGCAGGGCAAATATGTATCAAACAAGACACAACAGAATCCCAGCTCCAAAAAGATAAAGCATCTTACAGTTTTTATTTTTGATTACTTTTTTTTTAAAGTGCTTACCTTTTCACATAACTTTAATACAGACCCATTTAACTTTGATTGCTGTTGCAGGGCATAGATACTATTGTGATTGAGTTTTACCCCAACTAAGTTCAATTTGTTAATCATGCACAAATCTATGTAGGTTATATTCGTGATCCCCAGTTTATGTATAACCTATCTGCGTTGTTTTTTGCACAACGTATAATTCATAGCACATTCACGATTATTTAGTAAATATTAGGAAATGTTTAGGTCACATGGGCCTGTTTCCACACTGTAGGGATTCCATGATCTATGTAATGCTGGATATGGTGTTCTGAGATTTGCAAGCTTGGGCTGGTTCAGCACAATCAGCATGGTGCCTACTGTGGATATTAAACATGAAGATAGAAACATAGATGATAGGATCAAAGTAGGCCATTTGACCCTTTGAGCCTGCTCTGCCATTCTATATGATAATGGCTGCTAATCCGACAAAATACCCTAATCCCGCCCTCCCTTCCATACCCCTTTAGACAATAGCTATAATCTACCTCCTTCTTGAAACACGATATGTTGGCCACAACCACTTTCTGTAGTAGTAAATTTTACAGCTCACCACTCTCTAGGTGAAGAAGTTTCTCTTCATCTTTCCTAAAAGGTTTATCCCTTATCCTTAAACTATGACCCCGAATTCTAGACTCCCCCGCCATCAGGAACATTCTTCCTGCATTTAACTTGCTTAGTCCTGTTAGAATTTTATAGGTTTCTATGAGATACTCCCTCATTCTTCTAAACTCCAGTGAATACAATCCTAACCAACTCAATTTCTCCTTATATGTCAGCCCTACCATCCCAGAAATTAATTTAATAAACCTTTGCTGCACTCTCTCTATAGCAAGAACATCTTTCCTCAGGTACCGAAAACAAAAGTGCACATGATATTTCAGGTGTGGCCTCATCAATACCCTGTATAATTGCAGCAAGATATCCTTGTTCCGATGCTTGAATCTTCTCACTATGAAGCCTAACATATAGTTTGCCTTCTTTACCACCTGCTGCATCTGCATGCTTACTTTCAGCAACTGGTGCACGAGGACAGCCAGGTCTTGTCGAATATACCCCTCTCTCAACTGACAGACATTTCTGTTTATGCTGCCAAGATGGATAACCTCACATTTATGCATGTTATACTGTATTTGTCATACATTTGCCCACTCACTCAGCCTGTCCAAATCACATTTCCACCCAGCTTTGAAGGGATGAGCTCTTTCATATAGTTTGCCAACATTTTAGAGCAAGTGTTAACAATAACAGATAATAATTATCTTTAAAAATATTACTTCAACCATTTCAGGTTATTTTGAAAATTGTATTACATATTTCCCCCAAAATCTTTTTGCACTTTGTAATTTTTTTTATTCATTCACGAGATGAGGGCATCGCTGGCTAGGCAGCATTTATTGCCCATTCCTATTTGCCCAGAGGGCAGTTAAGAGTCAACCATATTGCTGTGGGTCTGGAGTCACATGTGGGCCAGACAGGTAAGGATGGCAGTTTCCTTCCCTAAAGGACATTAGTGAACCTGATGGCTTTTTCCAACAATTGACAATTGATTCAGGTTGTCATTAGATTCCTAATTCCAGACATTTACTGAATTCAAATTGCAGCATCTGCCATGGCAGGATTCTAACCTGGGTCCCCAGAATGTTACCTGGGGTTCTGGATTAACAGTCCAGCGATAATACCACTAGGCCATTGCCTCCTCCAATAATTTTGTAATTATTTCACACATACAGTTTGATTTAAAATGTTTTAATACTTGTTTCTTATGCATTGCTTTTGCCTCAAATTTGAGGCTTTATCGATATACAATCTTTATTCCAGTCACCAGGCTTGAAATGTCAACTATTTTCTTTCCACAGATGCTGCTAGACCTGCTGAGTTTTTCCAGCAATTTCTGTTTGTGTGTCTGTGTGTGTTTCAGATCTCCAGGGTCCGCAGTTCTTTGATTTATCTCTGTCTTTGATGCATGGGGGTTATTGTTGAATTGTGAGAAGTCACAGGCCTGAAGCTCGAACTCTGTTCTTTCCCTCCCATTGGCGCTGCCAGACCTGCTGTGTATTTCAGGCGATGTAGGCACACATACATTAAACAAAAATTACTTGTGATTCCATCTGTGTCAGCGCCCTGAACGAGAATGCGGTCTTGACAACAGGCCAACCATTGGCCTCCAGCTACAATTGTGCATCACTTCCTTTATGTGGCGTCAGCTTGTGCTCCGCCGCCATGACAACGGCGTAACATCGACATTCCACTGCTCGCTGTTTCCAAGCTGTTTGAATCGTTGGCTCGAGCTGCGCCCGCACCAGACTTTAAACCTGGATGTAGCGTGAACCCCTTTGTTTGTTTCCACCTGGCAAAAATGCCGAAAAAGGTTCTGAGACTAACAGTGCACCTGAAAATCCAGGCGGTGGGTTCTCTTACCGTTGGCGGTCGGGGTTTGAGCGACTGGGCGGCGGTTGGAGGCGGCGGTTGGGCGCAACAGCCGCCGGCAGATTTGATTGACATGCGGCCGGCCAATAGAAGTCGGCGAGGCGGCCATCCTTTGTGGGGATTTGTAGGAATTCGTCCGGTTTCTCCAATGAGAATGGGGGCGGGGCAAAGCTGTCACCAAACAGCAACAACTACATCAGGCAATGTTCCCCCCCAACTTGGTTCCAACTTTGAGACAGTAAGAACTGCAGATGCTGCAGTCAGAGACTATACAGTGTGGAGATGGAGGAAAAATGAAGGGACCCGACCCAAAACGTCCTCTTTCCTGCTCCTCTGATGTTGCCTGGGCTTCTGTGTTCCTCCAGCTCCACACTGTGCTGTCTTTGGTTCCAACTTTGTCTGATTTCACTCTCTTGCTCTCCCATAATGAATACGTTATTACATGTTCAGCCTTTCAGTTGTAACTTGTTTTCTTTCCTAGAATCTATGGACATTGCTTGTCTGAAGGGAAGGCTTGTTCTGAGGAAGGGTCACCGGACCCGAAACGTTAACTGTTTTCTCCTCCACAGTTGCTGCCAGACCTGCTGAGCTTTTCCAGCAACTTTGTTTTGGTTGCTTGTCTGAAGGTGTTTGAACTCTGAGGGCTAATGATTAAAAATGTTAAGAACTATGAGTGGGGCTGGGCTTGGCTAGGTGATGTGGAAAATCAGACGACTTAGGGGTCCAGCTCCGCAAATATTAAAGACTACTCTTTAAATGTACTTTGGGACAGTGAAATGAGTCCCTGGAAAACAAGCCCAACTTTTGTTTTCTTAATACTGAAGTATCTCACCCCGGAACCATTCTCGTAAAGTCTTTTTTTTCTGCACACTCTCCGGTGCACTCGCAGCTTTCTTATAGTGTGGTGCAATTCCGTGTACAATTCTGCAGATGAGGTCGGACCAGTGTCCTTAAAAGTTTATCATAACCTCCCTGCTCAAGGACTTTGTGAGTCTATTTATGAAATCCAACATACAGTATACTTTATTAACAACTTCCTCCATATGTTCTGCTACCTCTAATGACATAAGTACATGTATTCCAAGGTGTCTTTACTCCTGCACACCCTTTAGAATAGTGCCTTTTGGTTTGTACTATCTTTCCATGTTCTTTGTATCAAAGTGCATCAACTTGCACTTCTCTGCATTGAACTTTTCTGATACTTGTCTGCCCACTCCACTGTGGCAATGTCAATTTGAAGGTCTGCATCATCTTCCTCTCATTTAATGATTCTCTTGAGTTTTGTGTTGTTTGCAAACTTTGAAATTGACCTCTACACACCAAGATCTAGATCATTTCTATATATCTCAGTGGTTAGCACTGCTGCCTCACAGTGCCAGGGACCCAGGTTCAATTCCACCCTTGGGCGACTGGCTGTGTGGAGTTTGCATATTCTCCCCGTGTCTGCATGGGTTTCCTCCGGGTGTTCCCGGTTTCTTCCCACAGTCCAAAGATGTGCAGGGTAGGTGAATTGGTCGTGCTAAATTGCCCATAGTGTCCAGGGGTGTTTAGGTTAGGTAGATTAGACATGGGAAATGCAGGGGTAGGGGAATGGATCTGAGTGGGATGCTCTTCAGAGGGGCAGTGTGGATTTGTTGGGCTGAATGGCCTGTTTCCACACTGTAGGGACTCTTTGATCTCTATGATCAAGAAAAGCAACAGTCCTAATACTGACTCCTTAGGAACTCCATTGCAAATTTTCTTCCAGCCCAAAATATACCCATTAACCATTAGCCTCTGCTTACTATTCTTCAGCTAATTCTGTATCTGCATTGTTACTATGCGTTGTATTCCACGAAGTATAAATTTTCTCACAAGTAGGTTTGTGGCACTGTATCGTATGCCTTTTGGAAGTTCATCTACACCATACCAACAGTATTCCCCTCATCAATCCTACCTGTTACCTCTTCACTCATGCCGAGGCTCTGAATGAATCCATTATCCTGAATGTTTCTAGAGATTTCTGCACCACCGAAGTTAACTGAATGGTCTGTAGTTGCTGGACTGATCTTTGCAATCTCTTTTGGAAAAGGGAGGTATAGATTCCAGGAGATGCCTTTTCGATAGGTTAAAATGAGTTTCATGGGATCGGTGTAGAGACGTAGAGGGTCATGAGGAGAGAGGGAGTTGATGGAAGTGTAGAGGAATGTTTTTAAATGAAGGATGCAATGTGGCGTGATTAACGTTGAATTAATTGTGATATTATTTGTACTGCATTGATCTGCAAAAGTAATTATTTGAAATAAACATTAGTCCTTTTTTGCTTAATGGCACAAGAAGTGTATTCAATGTTGACAATCCAAAAAGCATTCCACAAAGTTTTAGTTGGCTCCAGAGCACAGACTAGCTATATTCCAATGCCACTTAGAATTTAGTGCCCTCTGGAGGGGATCTTTGATATGCAGCAACAGGGTCAGGCCACTCAGCCAGTCAGATTGAAGAATTCTCCCAGATGACAAAACAGAGAATTATATTGTATTTAAATAATAGTTTAGAAAGAAAACTATGGGATTGTAAGAGAAAATTAGAACAAACTAATATAATTTTTGTAAAAAATGAAATGGCTGAGTAAGCTGTTCTGATAACGGGCAGCTCGGGATATGCGACAAATGCTAGCTTTGATGCCCATGCCCCATGGAGGAATACAGAAAGTTTCCAATCCGTCAATGCATGTGTAACCATGTATTTTTACAAAATTTTTCAGTGTCAACCCTGCATGTGCCATTTGCAGCAGTGGCAAATATAGAAGCTCTTCCCTTATTTCTGTGAAGAATTGTGAGAAGCTTTCTTTCAGATAAATCTTGTGTTTAGAATATTAATACCATGATTGCCCCCATCTTCTTCTTATTAGTAGTGTCTGTAGACTCATTGCCAATGTAAACTGTCAAAAATAATTTATCAAGATTGTAAAAAGTTTCTCAGTAGAGATTTTAAGAGGATCTCACCTTCTCACCTGTTTTCTTTTTATGTGAGTTGAAACATAATGTGTCACAAGTTTTAATTTTTTGGGATACATAATTGACCTTAAGGAAATTTTATTTTATAAGAAATTGGAAACTACTAATTATGAATTTTTCACCATTTTATGTATTGCTGTGTTTGTTTATGGAATCGATATTTATCAAAGACTATAAATTAAGAAGCTTCCTATTGATCAATGAATGCTTTCCATAGGCACATAATGGCAAAAGCTGTCTGACAAGAGGAAAAGCAGTGTGGGTGAGATGGATGTGTTGGACATTGGTAGTTGACACAAAATATGTTGTGGCAGGATTGTGACAGAATTTATATATGAGAGGCCAAACGTAGCATTATTGTCAAAAATGAGTGGTGTTATTTAATGTTGGTAATAGTATGACATTTTATGTTTCTATGCCAACATTGTAATTCTTCCAAATTGAAATAATTTGTCATAGATTACATGTCCTGGAGTGTTCCTGCCTGAAAAGAATGATGTTTACGTCAGTGTATGTATGTTAGGAAGATTCCAGAAAACCAAGTTTGTCCCTTCTGTCTTTCCATTGACCTTCAACGAGAAAGTGAAGATTGAAAAGGTATTAACTGTCTTCTTGTTCAAGCAATTTCTAAAGAAAGAAAAAAAATTCTGAACATTTTAAACCTAAGTGTTGGAATTACACCAATTATTAAATGGCATCTGAAAGAGAAAGGACAAGTTCAGAAGGAATGGATCTAAAATGGATCTCAACTGAACTGTTAAACCTATCTTCACTTTCCAGTGCTAATTGACTTGCTGTGTAGTTTTCTATTTTTGTTTGGATACTTTTTTATATGTAAAGGATTTAGTTCCTTATGGTAGTGCAGCCTTGTAGCTTTAAATTTTAATTTTCATACCAGTCACTACTTTTGATTCAATGTACACAAAGAAATTTGGGACATTTCAGAAAGATCTAAAAAGGCGCTATGAATGCTATATTCGCTTTGGATCAAACTCATTTTAAATAGAAACAGAAACATTAGTCTTGGCCTCGTGTCAAATTAAATTCTGTCCTGAACTGTTTAAATTTTTCTCAAGCTGCTTTTTTTTCCTTTGTGAGTAATTCTAAATTAAATTATCGGCTTTGAAATGTAAGATTTCTCGTATTTATATATTTAAACGTTACTTCTTTCTTGGTCTCTTTACTCCCTTGGCTACTGAAATTACAATAAGTATATAAGAAGATTCTCTTTCCTCGATGGGCTGAATAGCCTTCTTCTCTGGTCTCTCTGCTGATCCCAAATACGAAGGCCTTGCAGGCAAATCAGGTACAGCAGGCCCCTTTGTGAAACAATTGCTTAGTTTTCACACTGCTGGCTGCAACCATGCTTCTTGACATGGCTGTTCTGGCCAATATCATGTTTTATGGACACTACTTCAAAATACAGGCATCATTTGTTTCCCTCCTTCTTATGTTCTTGCATTTAGCAACAGCCCAGTCATAGCCTCCAATATGGGTACCTCTCATCCTTTAAGTTGGTTGCAGTTATAGATAGGTTGATAGGTGGTTTGCATTATAAATGCATCCAAGAAATATATAATGAGAAAGAGAAATTAGGACACAATATGTAAGATTTAAAAATGAGGATTGAATTGCATCTGTGTGCCTTAGAGCAATTGTCCTATGCTTTCCAACTCCACCTTGGGGATTGATTAATACTTTAATCATATTGAATCATTTTAAAATTCCTTACACAATTAAGTACTTTACAGTAGGATGATTTGCTGTTAACTACACAAACAGTATAGAATCCTACTGACATTTCTTAATATAATTGAAATCAATGGACAAAATGTTTGGATTTACTTATTTTTACCCAGAACAGTCTTCCTGTCAGTGTGTAAGTGAAGCAGTGATCAAGGTAATACTGAGATTAATTAATGGAGTCTTATCTTCCCTGGACTATTAGAAATAGTGTTATTCCCCTTAAGCAAGAATATTTCTCAGTAAAAAAATTTTTTTATATTTGGTTTTACTTCTATGAAAATGTTATTCTGCTCAACCATGTTAACATAACCAACGCTGTTGGAAAATCAATGCTGAAGCACTCAAAGACCCTGATAATAGAGCCCTATTCAGCTAATGCCCACTGACCCAGAGACCGCAGAGTGTCCACCGTCCTTCATATTTGGCATCTGCAGAGAGACCATAAGACATAGGAGCAGGACTGACCATTCAGCCCATCAAGTATTTCTACCATTTAATGAGATCAGAGGGCTGACCTGATAATCCTCAACTCAACTTTATTGCCTTCTCCCATACCCCTTGAGTCCTTTACTGATTAACCATCTGTCTATCTCGACCTTGAATATACTTAATGACCCAGCCTCAACATCCCTCTGCAGTAAAGAATTCCACAAATTTACGACGCTCTGAGAGTAGAAATTCTTCATTATCCCTGACTTAAATATGAAACCCGTTTTTCTGAGATCATGCACTCTGCTCCTAGACTCTCCCACATGGGGAAACAACCTTTCTGCATCTACCCATTCAAGTACCCTAAGAATTTTATACGCTTCAATGTGGTTGTCTCCCATTCTTCTATATTCCAATGAGTACAGGCCCAATCTACTGAACCTCTCCTCATAAGCCAGTCTTCCATACTTGGTATCAGCATAGCAAACCTTCAGTTGACTGCTCCCAATGCCAATGTATCTTTTCTCAGATAAGGGGCTCAAGATTATTCACAGTGTTCCAGCTAGGATTTGACTAGGGCTTGTATAGTTTTAGAAAAAAACTTCCTACCCTTATACTCCATTCCCTTTGAAATAAAAGCCAACATCCCATTTTCTTTCCCTATTACCTGTTGAACTTGAATGCTAGCTTTTTGTGATTCATGGATGAGGACTTCCAAATCCTTTTGTTACATAGCTTTCTTCAGTCTTTCTCTGTTTAAATAATATTCAGCTCCTCAATTCTTTCCTTCAAAGTGCATAATCTTGTATTTCTCCACATCATATTCTCTCTGCCAAGATTTTGCCCAATCCCTTAAGCTGTCTATACATTTCTGCATTTGCTGGTCACCTGATCAAGAAACACCAAGACTTCTTTGATCAGAATGACCAGGATATCCAGGACCTGATAGGTTGCTAACAAATGGATGATGGAGTTCAATCTGGAAAAATGTGAGGTATTGCTTTTTGGTGCAACAATCAGGGGCTAGACTTATACAATTAATGGTAGGGGCTTGGCTAGTGTTGTAGAACAGAGGGACTTAGGTGTTCAGGTACAAAATTCTATGAAATTTCTGACCTAGGTAGACAAGGTGGTTAAAAAGGCATTTAGCACACTTGCCTTCATTGCCCAGTCCTTTGAGTATAGGAGTTAGAAGTCATATTGAGTTTGTACAGGACATTGGTTAGGCTTTTTCTGGAGTACTGTGACCAGTTCTGGTCACCTAGTTATAGGGAGGATTTTATTAAGTTGGAGAAGGTTCAGAAGAGATTCACCAGGATGTAGCCAAGTATGGAAGGTTTGAGTTGTAAAGAAAGGCTTGATAGGGTGGGATTTTTTTCACTGGAGGGTAGGAGGTTGAGAGGCAACCTTGTAGAGGTTTTTAAAATCATGAGGGCTATAGATAGGGTTAGTGGTAGGTGTCTTTTCCCTAGGATGTGGGCTTCCAAGACAAGGGGGACATATTTTTAAGGTGAGAGGAGAGAGATAGTAAAAAAGACATGGGGGCAATTTTTTTACACAGAGGATGGTTCACGAGTGGAATGAACTTCCTGAGGAAATGATGGATGTGGGCATGGTTACAATGTTTGAAAAACACTGAGATGAGTACTTGAATAGGAAAGTTTTTGGAGGGAAATGGGCCCGGAGCAAACTAGTTTAGTTTGGGATTATGTTGCACCGAAGGGTCTGTTTCTGTGTTGTATCAATCTGACCCTATGACACAAGGCATTTCTGAACTTGAACTAACAAACCAATTTAAGAACTAGAAACAAGTTCTACAGCCAGCTGAAGCTGATGTGTGGGAATATACAGTTGAGGTTAAAATCAGATTAGCATGATCTCATTGAATGGCAGAACAGGCTTGAAGGACTGAATGGTCTCCTTTTGTTCATTGTTTGTATTTCCTGCCAAATATCTGCAAATTAAGGAGCCGAGGGTACGTGGAGAAAGTGCAGGAGATCCAGCAGTTAGCCAACAACCACAATGTGCATGATTCCTTCAGCTCAGTTGAGACTACATATGGTCCATACATCCAAGGCTCCACACCATTTCTGACTAAGAGTGGAGAGATGCTCGCCAAGGACAGGGAAACAGTCGACACCCACTGAAAGGAGCATTTTGAAGATATTCTTAACTGTCTTCAATGCATACAGCTATGTCCTGCTGCCATCTCAGCACAACCCCAACCCAGCACAAGTTAGAAAAGACCATTCGACAGCTAAAGAGCAGGAAAGCCTGAGGAGCACATGGAATCCCTGTTGAAGTACTGAACAATATCGGAAAAGCATTGTTAGCTGAATGCACAACCTCACTTCCCTTTTCTGGAAGGAGGAGAGCATGCCAGGAGATCTTAGATGCTGTAGGTGTGACCATCCTCAAGAAATGTGATGGGTCTGACTGTGGTAACTCCAGAGGAGGCTTTTTGCTGCTAGTAGCAGGTTAAATTATTGCAAGAATCTTTATCAATCACCTTGTCCCTGTGGCTAAAAAGGTCCTTCCAGAGTCCCTTGAAGGGACACAAAGGACATAATCTTCCTGCATTGCAACTAAAAGAGAAATGCAGAGAACAAAACCAGTAGTTGATCATAGCCATCTTTGACCTCCTAAAGGCTTTCAAAACTGTTAACTGTGAGCTCCTATTCCATTTCAGCTACCCTTAAAAAGTTTTCTCTGTCTTCATCTGCTCTACAATGATACATTAGCTGTGATCCTAAACAACATATCTGCCACAGACCCATTTTACGTTCGTGCAAAAGTTAAGCAAGGCTGTGTCATTGCATTGATACTCTCTTGATCTTCCTTGCTGCAATGCTCCACCTCACCTTCAGCAAGCTCCTGCTGGAGTAAATCTACAGAGCAAATGAAAACTGTTCAACCACTGCTGCTGACAGGCCAGTTCCATGGTTGCCTCATCCGTTTTCATTGAACAATATGCAGACAATGCTTGTATCTGTGCGTATTCAGAGGCTGAGCTCTAACCTTTGTCAACACCTTCACTGATGCATACTAGAGCATGGGCCATCAAACATTTGTAAGACAAAGTCTCTGTATGACCCTTCACCCTGCCACACAGCATTGTTCCATCACCCCAACCCAACCAGATTATTAGAAGTTACAATGATGTCTTGGACGACGTGGTCCATCTTCCATAACTTGGGAGTCTTTTGTCAACATGGACGCGAGGTTCAGTGCTCTACAATCTTTCTTGCTGCATGTTCCGTTTTGCTCTCAGTTCCCTTCTGACTCAAGTCTGCTATTAATCCCCTCTACACTGAACCAACTGTCATCATATCTTTGTGTTCTGGAATTCTGTTCCCAAATGCAAACTGAATTGCTTTGGCACGTCTCTCTCTACCTTCAAAACTTTCTTAAATCCTACAAATTTAGCTGTGTTTTTTGGTCACCAGCCTTGACTTTATTCACATTTGTTGTTCACCCTCCCCATTCTACCCATTCTTTTCCAGGTAATTGCTTGAGACTCTTTGCTATGTATTACATTTCTCTTTGCTTTTCATTTTAACAACATCGCACAACAGTGCAGCGCTTTACAAATTCAATGAATATGATTCAATAAGAATGTTTGGAAATGAGAAGGATCTACATTGTAAGTAACAGAGGAAAGTTTTCTTTTCAACAAACAAACATCACTAATAATTGAGATCAGTAGTAAGACAAATGTTGATACAGAGTTAGGCAAAATTACTCTAATCTAAAATATTTAATAAATGCATGTGCATAGCCTGAGTTAAGTTAATTTCAAAATTTTTTTATAAGGAAAGCAGATTGCTCTCCCAAGTAGTAAATTGCTGATATTGATCATTTCAATAAGTTCCTTTAAGTTCAGAGCTTAATCCATTGGTACATATCCATTGTTTTTCTCTAAATGATCATCATTAGAAATTTGATAAAAACAGTTATCTTTGAATCATATGTTTCCTAATATTGGACGATTATTTCCAAGTGATGGTTCTTTGTTTTGATTTTTTTTGTATTGTGTAAATGCAGAACTTTCCTGAAGCTATGAATCCTGGGGATGTCGCAGACATTCTGGAAAGTAAGAACAGTGTATATTAGTGATTTTGTTTTTATATTTATACATTTGCATCTCTGAAACTCCTGTATTATAATATCAGTATTAATATTATCTTGTGATTCTTTTCTTCACAGTGGATACAACAAAATTTGAATTAATACAGCTGACTCCACCAGGTACCGTCAAAATTTGTGAAAATATCAATGTGTTTACCTGTCAGTTACTATTTGCTCAGTCAAAATATGTTTTCTGAAGGTACTGGTAAAGTATCAGTCTTACTTAACATACATTGTAATATGATGCTTCGTTTGATATCTGAAAGTACATTTCTCCCTCACTTTTAAACTCAGAACAAAATAATGAAGAGAATGTGTTATGTGAGTTGAAACATAGGCACATCCTGGGTGTCTTGTTAAACAACGTGTTATTTTGTGAATGTGCATTGAGTTTGTTCATATTTAGGGTGAAAGATAGAAAGCACATACAGAATCCTGAAATGGAAAAAGGAAAATTAGACTACTTTAATGCCTCAGTGAGTTTATTATGTGAGTAGATGAGCAGTATAGATTTGGAAAATAGCAGATAATTGTCCAACCTGTGCTAAGATCTCAAATAGCAATAAGAATATTATAATTGGCATCATAATCCTGAGATTAAAAAAAAAATCAGTGTATTCTCAGGCCTGGTTGCTGTAAATGACTGCTTGACCAATATTGCTAAATATAGGTTGTAACTATAGGTTGAGACTCCATGTTGAAAATTATTGCAAACCATGCACTATCAAAGCAGAGGTTAAGGGGGTTATTAAATAAAAATAGCTATCTGTGGAACCAGATCCCAGAAGGTAGTTAGGGGAAGTAATTCAAGGAATAAAATTAAAGTGGAGACAAATGGGGGGAAAAAAATCTGATTAACTCTGTACTTATCTACTGACTAGTCTTAGCTATGAATTCCTGCAAAATGAATGGCACAAGTCTCATTATTATGGTTGGTAGTCAACACAGGCAATTGGCTGGAGAGCTGGACAGAGCCCCATGTCACCTCCTTTTAAGAAGTCCCACTGAATTAATTGACCATCAGCCATTCAAGTGGATAGCTGGCCTTCCCCAGGATCAAGGACCCCAAGGTTAACTGTGAGAATTTCTAGCCAATTAGAGGCGAACAGCTATGCATTGTAGGCAGCATCACCAGGGAGTGGCTGCTAGTAATACAACCTGATTAAGTGTGTGCCTTTATATGAGGGGACCGCCCCATCCCCATCCCCATCCCCATCCCCATCCCCATCCCCATCCCCATCCCCATCCCCATCCCCATGAACTTGCAGTGGGGTTTCCGTGTGACAATTCTTGAAGGATGAGAACCTTAAGTGGGCCTTAACTGCTCACTTTGCTCACAATAGGGCCTCAATTTGCAGTGGAGTGGGAAGGCTATCAATGATCCTTCCTACCTCACTTAATTAAATATCCACTGCATTTAAACTTGTCTCAGGAAAAAGTATTAAAGTGCCAGATCAAAAATGAATTTCTGTGAATATGAAGTCATGGAAAACTCTTTCAAGTAATGTTTGACCGATATTTATATTTTAAAAAATACTTTATAATTTAAAGAAAAATATGGAACTCATTGGTAGATTTATATGTCCCTAATTATATGTGGTTTAGGCCCATGACTTTAAATGGGAATTAATATGTTGGAGAGAAAACCATTCACAAAACTTTGCCACTTAACCTCAAACATGAATAGAGTCTCAAAAAATTGGAATTGTTTGCAAATCCACCTGTCTTCTCCACCTCCTTTCCCAGTTGATGCTGATGTATAGTGTCATATAATTTTCAAGGTGTTAAGAGTTTCATCTCCTATACTTTGGTGAAGTGGCTAAGCTATGTGTAAATATCTTCAGGTTATTCAAGCATAGAAACGTGGCACCTTCCAATATGAATCAGGGTACAGCAATTCTGACAACATTTTATATCTTTATAGCTTTCACGTAACAAGTCCCAGGCATATATGAGAGTACAAATGATGCAGTTAAGAAGCTAGGTGTGAAGGTAAAGCCAAGGAAAGAACTAGCAATTGGAGTTCGAAAGACTAGGGCTGAGGTGACAGAGGGCTAAACTGTCCCATCTTCAGTCAAAGTGTTTTTTCAAGTGAGACTCCTGGAGCTTGGTCTGCTATGGCTCAAGTCAACTTTTCTCATGCAATCTTCTGCTCTTCACCTCATTAATTATGCAACTGGGCTCTACACTCCCCATTTTGTGGAATTTCACAGCAGGAGAGTTGAAGATGCTCACCACTGCTGAGATCTTCCGGCATTCATGCTGTTAGAACCATTCTTAAAGTCCAGCTGCACACCACTTCAGACACTGAAGGCCAGAAACTGTTCCATCACTGTGGTGCTACAATGTGTCCATTCCTGGCCTCTGGACCTCCATGGCCCAGAAAGGGAAGTTGGCTGCCTGGTTAACTAACAATAACCTCACAAGGTTAATGGCAAGATTCTCAGCAGTGTGGAGGAACAGAGGGATCTTGGGGTCCACATCCATAGATCCCTCAAAGTTGCTACCCAAGTTGATAGGGTTGTAAAGAAGGCTTTCATTGGCAGGGGAATTGAGTTTAAGAGCCGTGAAGTTATGCTGCAGCTCTATAAAACTCTGGTTAGACCACACTTGGAATATTGTGTTTAGTTCTGGTCACCTCATTATAGGAAAGATGTGGAAGCTTTAGAAAGGGTGCAGAGGAGATTTACCAGGATGCTGCCTGGACTAGAGGGCAGGTCTTATGAGGAAAGGTTGAGAGAGATGGGGGTTTTTCTCATTGGAGTGAAGAAGGATGAGGTGACTTGATGACGGGGGCTGGCAGCAGGCACTCATAGATAGGAAGAACCACACCTGTCATTATAAAGATTCTTTCACTTTTTAAAATATGTATGCACTTGCACTCTTAAGTTATCTGTTCTCGTATCTTTGTCGCTGTTGGACTGGTTAAGTCGTATTCATGTGAGAGATGAACAGCGTTTTCATACATCCCGAGAATGAAAGAAGTTATGAGGACCAAACCACTATTGCTTATCTCTGACAAGCAACTGACTCCTTCACTGCTCACAGCATTGGAACCGTGACGTTGATGACCACATCCAAGGCATTACACTTTGCTAAAAGCAATGTGCAGGGATTGTGCAAGGACTTCACCTATGCATGTCTTCCACACTAGCAGAAACAGTGATGATTCCACACATCTCTGGCAGGAAAACCTCATTTTGTGTCTGAGCTTTTCCATGGACCACACTGCCATTCAAGGTTGGGAGGTGTACAATGGGCAGTTGAAATATTCACTCTCCTTTACAGTGCATTCGCCTGACAAGAGAAGCTCTGCAAAACACTGCCTGTATCAGGTTGGACACTGTTCTACAAGATGCTCAAGCATTTCAGGGGAATTTAGAAATCTGTGCACACGCTAAAACATTGAAAGCTAGTTAATGATGGAAGAATGAAAAGGATCTACCTAAGGAATTCTGTCAACCACTATCATAAGAGATCTCACTGCACAACATTAGGACCTCAGATGCTGACTGGATCCTTCAGAGCTGTGCAACTTTTAATGCCAATAGTTTTAATGCCCATCTAACCTGATGGCTACATTTTCCTTGACAATGCGTAGGACCTGTCATATGCAGATGCTTGAAAATGGAATTACCCAATAATATTGAACATACAATCAGATAGACAAGATAACATTTATGCTGTGACAGATAAAGCTAAGTACTTTGAAAACAATTAGGCCCTACAAGTCCTTTGCACTAAGCGGAAGCTCTAGGCCATATAACCAGAATTATACAATTCAAGTAGGTCCAAACCCAGGACATTCACCCTGGAAGTGGTTTCAATTTCCCTGTCTATACCAGACAATGTTTTGTTCATCACCTTCCCTTTCATCTTCAGAAGATTGCTGTCAATCCCACATTTCTTCTGTGTCTGGAATGTCCCTCCTTTCTCATTCCCAGTTGTGAAGAGCAATGATACAGCATAACCTTCTCGGCTATATTGCAAGCTCTACTGGAGTGGTCTAGGCATTGAAACCTCTTTTTAGGAGATCTATGGTCTGTTCCTCTCTGACCCTAGTGGAAATTGTGTCTTTGTTCTGCTTCAGTTTGGAGTTTTGTAAAGCTGTCATGAACTATTTTTGGAGGGGATAGCCCTTGTCTCCTAGCAGCCATCCCTATAAGGCCCAAAGACCTTGGAAAGAGGAAAGAAGCTGTGAGTTCTCTGGAATGTACACATCGTAGCAGTTTCCAGGCTATCTAGTGTGGACGTGCAAAATGTAGCGCCAATGGTCACATGTAATTAGAACATTGATGGAGTGGAAGCCTTTATCTGTTTGTAAACTGCAGTGTCAAGCAATGTGTGTGCATTTTCTAGCATCATTCACCTGTGGGAAGTCAGCAATGATAGAGAATCCCACTGCTTGAATCTCCACGTTCAAGCATGGGAGGATATAATTTGGTGCGACCTCGAGAAAATGGCATCACTGACATCCTGGATGCATTTGCAGTAGTGGATTGAGCCGCACAGGTCTGTAGTTGTTCTTTGAAATGAACTGCTGGCATTGAAATTCAGGACAGCTGTAACCTTAACTGGGATGCATTGGCCATCCAATTCTTTTCAGCACGTCTCCTGCTCAGTAGATGACGCAGTTCAATGACAATGATCCAGAACATCCTTGGTCTGCACCTGCACTGCATTCCCATTAACTGTAGAAAATGAATCCAAGGCACATAGATGTGAGATCTCCTTGTAATCGTGTTTCTGTAATGGCTATAGGATCATATTCATTGGGCTCAATTTGCACCATCACTTCATTTACCTTATGCTGAATGCTTTGCGCATTAAGCAAAGCCTTTAAATTTGTTCTATTGTCCTAATTTCCCTAAATGTCCATGGTTCCTTGGCACAAGAGGCCTATCGGGTCTGTACCACCTGGTGCAGGATGATCCCCCACCATCATGTTACCTTTTTTATGTTGCTGTCCCTGATGCCCTTTCAGCCTCTCCCTGTTTTGGCTCAATCCCTTTACATAGGGCCAGAGTAGTAATGACTTATGAAACCACCTAGAGCTCCCTATCTTTTCTATGGTCTGAGGTCAAAGCCTTCTATCTTCAGCTTCACCAACTTTTACAGAC